TTCGGGTGATACAATGCATCAAGGAATGGTTTACCTGTGATGTTTTACTAACTCCTTAAATTCCAGGTTTTAGAAATGTGACATTTTGTCAAGTGTTGTGGGTTTTTGCCGATACTGGGAGGGTGAGAAAATAAAGCGGCTTATTTATTTGGATGAAAGGGAATTTAAAGATACTGCATTGTCATTGTCTTATTATGTCATTATGTCCTCTGTGGCCAATTCTGGCTTTCTTTAACGTCAGTTTAATCTCTGGAATGGATTTATTTGCATGGGAACTCGGTGTCCCTGTTCTCTGGTTGCTGCAGAATACAAAATGAGATCAGCCTTGGGGATAATGCTGTCTAACAGCTTCCTTTCACAGGGATAGAGTCTGGTTTGATTTGGGACTAGGTTGTAGGAAGACCTTAAGACTAGTCAAAAGCTAAGCATTGTATACTAGGCAGGCTGAAACTCAAGGTGAAGGTGTTATTGTTGAGTCATTTCAATTGTATCTAACTCTCTGTTGCCTCATATGGGGTTTTCTTGGCAAAGATTCTAGAGTGGTTTGCCATTTCCTTCTCCATCTCATTTTATAGATGAGAAACTGAGGCAGATTGGGTTAAGTGAAATGCCTAAGGTCAGTGTTTGAGGCCAGATTTGAACTCATGAGTTTTCCTGATTCCAAGGCCAGCGCTCTATCCACTGAGCCAGCTACCCCAAGAGGTGAAACTACCCAGATAGTCAATGTCCTGATCAGATTTGGACTCTGCTTCCTGACTCAAAGTGTTTTTCCTGAGATCACACCTCCTAGTTCGGGCAGAAAACTACCAAAATCTTCACCTTGGGTTTGCTCCCTTGTAGTGAATCTTTTTTCCAATGACCCAGGATTAAATTGAAAAGGAGGAAGAAGGTGAGGACTTGCCTAATAAGGTCCTGCCCTGCACCTCCTTTTCTGTGGTCTGTTAGAAAATGAAGTCCTCTCAAAAAAAGAAAAAAGAAAAAAGAAAAGAAAAACTAGGCCCACTTAGTTCAATTCAATAAACATTTAATTTTATGCAGAAACTTAAGGTCTGCTATGTACACACATAAGTAAGTGCAAAGTCATTTGAAGGGAGAGAGAATTAATACTTGAAAGTTCAGGGAAAGCCTTATGGTCTAACTGAGCTGAGTGTTAAAGGAAGATAAGCATTCTGACAGGTGGAGTTATGAGATGTATGATAGCTCTACATCTTATGAACGCAATGCCCAAAACCTTGACTAATGGATCACCCAACCAGTTGTCAATGACACATGCCCCTCTTCACCAAACAAACCTTCTCTTTGAGGAAGCCCTTTCCAACCCCTCTTCATTCCAGCACCTCCCCTCTGCTAATTATCTCCCATTTGTCCTATATATGACTTGCTTTGTATATATTTGTTTGCCTGCTGTCTCCCCCATTAGATTATAAGCTCCTTAATGAAAGGAACTGACTCTTGCCTCTTTTTGTATCCCCAGCAATTAACCTACTATGTGTCTGGCACATAGTAGGTGCTTAATAAATGTTGACTGATTGATTCATTTGGACGCAAGCCTAACACAGACTGTCTGGGGATTCAAGCCCAGGTTTAGAGGGATTTGAATGCAATGAGGCATGAATCGATCATTTAATGTAATAAAATGACTTTATTATATACATATATATTTATGTATAACAGAAGATAAAAAGGATACAATCCATAAGGTTAAAAATGTAGTAATTCAGATAGAACAGTTATTTTCCATTTTTGTACACTGACCACAACAGCTGGCCACTAAGTTAGAAAGGAAATAGGAACTCCAGTAAAACTTTGAATACCAACTCCCCACAGGCTGGGCCTTTTATGCCTCGGGTCATAAGGAAACCTTTGCCAGTTGTGTTCCTAAACTTCCCAAAGAAGTGGGTAGGGTGTGTGGCCTAGATGTATGTATGACTATGGTAGCACCAGGATGTGTTTTATGTAGTCTGGGCTTGTTTTCCTTTAGTGAGGCAGGCATCTATGCTCAGGATCTTTGAGATGGGACGGGTACCCTCTAAATCCATGACACTTTGTCAGTCCAATGGATCTGTGTTCTTATGTGCATGGTACTCACTCTACCAAGTGAGATGGTAATCTCTCTATGTAATTTTTCTCTGCATCCTTTCTCGGGCGGTCTTTCTGCACTATTTTATGTTTGTGTGTATATGTGTGTGTGTGTGTATGTGTGTGCGTGTATACATATATTGTGTGTATATATATATATATATATACACATAATGTGTACATATGGTATATATGTGTATATGTATATATTTATGTGTGTATACATATAGGTGTGTGTATGTATATATATATATGCACACATATATATATATTTGTTGTTGCTCAATCATTTCAGTTGTGTGCAACTCTTTATGCTCCCATTTTGAGGTTTTCTTGGCAAAGATACTGCAGGGGTTTTCCATTTCCTTCTCCAGCTCATTCAATAGATGAGGAAACTGAGGCAAACAGGGATAGGTGACTTGCCCAGGATTACACCACTACTAAGTGTCTGAGACTAGATTTGAACTCAGGAAGATGAGTTTTCCTGACTCCAGGCCTGGCACTCTATCCACTGAGCCACCTAGCTATATAGACATAGTGTGTGTGTGTGTGTATTATATCTATACATATACATATATGCATGTATGTATATTTCATGGACTCATGGTTCTCAAAGAGCTTGCATTGCATTGGGGGAAGTGAATTTTAAGTAGATTAAATGAGGAGGGACAGGTCATTAATAACTAGTCAGAATTTACTAACCTCCAACCTACCTACCTGGGAAGAATTCATCCAATCATAGATCTACAGCTGTAAGGGACCTTTGAGACCATGTAGTAAAACTCTCTCATTGTACTGTTGATGAAACTGAGACTTAGGGATGTTAAATTATTTGCCCAAGGTTACACAAGTAGTAAGTTTCAGAGGTGATATTTGAACCCAGGTCCTGGAACTCCAGAATCAAAGATCTTTCTGTTATTGTACTACCCTGCCCCGCTAAGGAACAAGAGATGGGAAAATGTATCCCAAACTGTAGTGATAAAAAGACCTGGAATGGACATCATGTTTCAATTCCCACAGAAGGCCCTGTTTCCCTCCCTTCTCTCCTGTGTTACCATAAAATTATCACTGCCTATGGAGGGGCCTTTGGTGCCTTGAATGGGCCCAAGGTCAGGAACTGTTGGTAGGAGGGAAGGAAATATCAAAACGCAGAACATAGGCAAGACTTTCTCTTTTGGTGGCCGTGGGCCTTCAGATCCCTGGCAGTTCTGCTCAGGACCTTTTATTCATCCATTGCAAAATGATGGACTTTCAGAGTGAGGATTTTGGGGGCCTGTGCCCAGACTGTAGTAGGATCCTAGAAAAAAAAATCCTCTTTATATAAAGTGCATAGCACATTGCCTGGCACACAGTAAGTGCTATTTAAATGCTACTATTATTGTTATTAAACCTGTTTTCTTTGTGCAAATGCTTTCTTAGGATTTTCTTGACCTTGAGCAAGTCATTTAATTTCTTGGCTTTAGTTTCCTCATCTGTAAAATAAAAGAGTTAGATTATATGACCTCTAGTACAACCTCCCAAAGTACTATCAAAGGTAGAATATTGGCAAACATCAAAAATCAGGGCTTAATTTCTTGTTCTTTATCTAGAGTTAAGAAAGTGATGGAGAAAATGATAATAATACAGACTAAACTTTAAAAAAAAAAAGTGGAATAGACTGCCTGTGTGGGGAATGACTTCTCCTTCCCACCAGAGAGTCTTTTAGTGGAGGTCGGGTGACCTCTTGTTAGGGATGTAATCAATGGGATGTGTGGGTTGAACAGATAACCTCATAGGTCCCTTCTAGCTTTGACAGTCTTAAAATGCACCATTATACCTCTGACCCAGCACTGCAGGCTCCTTTCTCCCGCCTCTTTCACCCTGAACCTTATGGTCAAATCAACTCCATCAAACACTCCTTCCTGGATGCCATGCCCCTCTACGTGTTGTCTCTCCCTGATTAAACATAAGCTCTTTGAAGGCAGCAGCTACTAGCTTGCATTTCTAAATAGTAAATAGTTGTTGTTGTTCAATGGTGCCCAACTCTTTGTGACCTCGTGGAACCCATGGACTTTTCTTGGCAAAGATACTGGAGTGATTTGCCATTTCCTTCTCTAACTCATTTTACAGATGAGGAAACTGAGGCAAACAGTGTTAAGTGACTTGCCTAGAGTCATACAGCCAGTAAGTGTCTGGGGTCAGATTTGAACTCTGATCTTTCTGACTCCAGGCCCAGTGCTCTATCCACTGTGTCACCTAGCTTTTCCATTCCCAATTACTAAGATCAGAAGGTCCCAAGTTCACATGGCTCACAGGTTGTTAAAGAATTTAGCAGAAGAATATGTGTAAAAGCTTCCTCTGCTGTAGAAAGCACCGACTTAGAGAAGTTACATATTTGGGGAACGTTTCATTGGAGGAAGCAAAATTTCGAAAGGTCTTTAACTGGGAAAAGAGAGGGTTCGGCAATGAACTGGAAGAGGACATTCTGGGAGGGGGGATTTTCATGTGAGAAGGTTGGCTTTAGGAACAATTGCTTAAGTATGCAAGTTGGAATGCCCAGAAACTGTCAAAGGGATTAGACTTGTTTGGTGGGGCCCTGGAGGGCAGAGCAAGCAGCAGTGGGTGGAAGTTACCAGGAGGCACATTTGGGCTCAATGCCAGGAAAAACTTCCTAATAATGACAGCTATACAAGAGTGGAACGGGCTTCCCAAGGAGACAGCACATCCCCTTTCACTGGAGGTCTTCAAGCAAAGGCTGGATCGCTTATCCAGCATTAAGTAGTACAGCAGCTAATGGAAATGGGGAAGAAATACCGGATGACAGATTTCCAAATCAACTGTAGCAAACTTAGCATGAGAAAAATCAAGGTTGGCCTAAAAGAAAGCATACTATGGGTAAGCTGAAGATGTTATCTATGCTTAACAAATAACAACAATAATGATAATAATAATAATAATGTATATTTGCATTAGCTCTGTATAGTTTACAAAACACTTTATCAGGTAATTGCAATTATTCTCCCGATTTTACAGAAGAGAAAAACTGAGGCAAACAGAGGTTAAATGACTTGCCTACGGTTGCACAGCTAGTAAGTGTCTGAGGTCACATTTGAACTCGGATCTTACTTACTTTAGACCCAGTGCTCTATCCACTTCACAACCTGGAAACCTACACTCTCTCCATGCCTGTGTCTATGTCGTCAGAACCCTCCCATCTCACACATCATCATCCTATTATTAGAAAGTATGGAAAGAGCCGGTGAACATTTTGTGGACCTGTTCGAATTTTCATGGGTGTTAGAGGGTCCCCAACATAGAAAGAGAAACAAGATGATTTTAATTAACTAATCCATGCCTCCTCCCAGAGGAAACTAAACACTTTGTTCTAGATAAGTCCAACATAACATTCATTCACCCTTGAGAACAGGGTCCAAAATCTAAACGGAGACACTTTTCCCAATAGATAAAATAATGGTGTGATATTCAGTTTGAATATATAGAAATACTACCAGGACAAATGCAGTCAGGTACATAGAAATGGGAGCCTCATGGTTTCTGAAAACACCTGATATTTACTTGACCAAAGAAAAAGCACTTATTAGGATGTAAATCAATGTTCCTTGGGATTTTTTTGATCTTTTTTAGTAGAAATAGGGTACAAATATAGAGATGACACTTTAGTGTCCCTCACAAATACTAATTAAAAAGTCATTTAATACAAATATCATATTTCTAACTTGATTCAATAATTACTTATTGCTAAATATTAGAATACCTAGATAGAACATAATTATTGTAAATTATTCTTGCAAAATTCTCATGAGACCTAATAGTGCCCATGTTTTGAAATTAAACCAGTTTGCTCTCAAAAGGTTGTCCAGGTTTTGAGAGATTCTCTCCTTAACTTGTGTACCTTCTCTGCACTATATGTCTTAGATACAGATTGATACTGCAATTTTTTTAAAGACCCCAAGATTAAGTTCTACAGACTCTGCAGGCTGGTTCCTCGGGATTTCCTACACACTGAATGAGTTGAACAGCCCTGTGACAAGAGGGGAAAAAAAGCAATTATTAATAGTAGTAATAGCAACCACAACTCACATTTCTACAAAGCTTTAATGTTTGCAAAGTACTTTCCTTACTCTAATCCTGTAAGTTGGGCAATGCTGGTATTATCATCCTTATCTTACAAATAAGGAAACTGAGGGTCTGAGAGGATCAGCTCACAATTAAACAGCTTGTCCAGGGGTGGGGAACCTGGCCCCTCAAGGTCTCATATGGCCCCCTAGGTCCTCAAGTGAGGCCTTTTAACTGAATCCAAACTTCACAGAACAAATCCCCTTAACAAAAAGATTTGTTCTGTAAAACTTGGACTCAGTCAAAAGGCCGTACCCAAGGACTTAGAAGACCACATGTGACCTGGAGGTCGCAGGTTCCCCACCCTTGAGCTTGTCCAAATGGGGATGTGAACCCAGGTATTGATTGTTACATGACAGCCAAAATCTAAGAGTTACCGTTCAGTTGTTTTAGTTGCGTCTGACTTTTCATGACCCCATTTGGGATTTCCTTGACAAAGATCCTGGAGGGGTTTGCCATTTTCTTTTCCATCTCATTTTATAGATGAGGAACTGAGGCAAACTGGGTAAAGTGACTTTCCTAAGGTCACTAAGTATCTACAGCCAGATTTGAGCTCACAAAGATGAGACTTCCTGATTCCAAGCCCAGTGCTCTATCCACTGAGCCACCTAGCTGCCCCAAGTCTAAGAACAGAAGTTTAGAATACATAACTTTTTTATCTTTGTGGGGATGTACTAAAGAATGAAAACTTTAGCCTGACATGCAAGGGTGTCCATGACAGGGATCCAACTTTATATTGTAGTCTGATCTCAAAGTTCTCCCCATCACAAACTCTAAAAAATCTGCCAAAGGGGCTGTCATTTCCCAAACTCATATGACCTTTTTCTGTCTCCTTAAATGTTTTCACCCTATCCCCTACAACTTCACAAGGATGGGGAACCAGAGCCTTCTATCCAATTGGATTCAGTCAGAAGACTGCACTTAAGGACCTGGAAGGCTACATGTAGCCTGAAGGTCACAGGTTCCCCACCTCTGGCCTAGAATGACCCCTGACTATGAGGGGCTGGTGCACTATTACAGAGAAATAAATTCCTTAGAATAAAAGTAACAACTCAAAAACTGTTCACCAAGGAAGGACGTGTCTATGGCTGATTTTGTAACACAGATTCTTCACCAATGAACCTTTCTATCTTTTCAAGCACTAGAGATTCTAGTTGGGCCCACAAGATTTCCTTCGGGACACAGATAACACAAGGAACACAGAAACACACAGGGAGGCCAGAGGAACACGGATCCCCACTGCCCCGACTCAGCTTCCCCTTTCTTTCTAAAAGAATGGGTTCTACAACAGCAGTACAATAAGCCAGTTAGAGAAACACCATCCCTTAAATTCTACTTTTCCCTAATTTAATCCACAAACTATGGCAGCCCCAGAATGAGAGAAGACTAGCGTATTCCTCAAAACTCCTGGAAACAACACACCTGCCTTTCTGCCCCATCTTCTTTTCAGCCCTGGATTCTTTATTATGTTAACACTCAACTCCTTTGAAATCTTGGCCACCCCTTAAGGCCTAGCTCCATTCTTACCTGTCTGTGAAGTTTTCCCCAATGCTTTCCACCCAGAAAAGAATCTCTTCCTCCTCAGATAATTCATAACCCTTTACTTGTTCTTCTCCCAGGCACTTATATTCTGCTTGGTATTTGTTACTTAAAGTAATTGAGACAATAGCTTCAGAAACAAAATACATCCACAGATATGAACAGTATTCCTATGTAGCAATAACAAAATCCGGGGGAAATAAATGAAAAGACCTCAGTTGGAAGGGATTTCTCAGAGGCCAACTAGTCCAACCCCTTCACTTTACAGATAAGGAAACTGAGGCCCAGATAAGTTAAGTGACTTGCTCAAAATCACACAGGTAGTAAGTACTGGAGGTGGGCTTTGAACCTAAAGCCATTACAGAGCCAGTGAACGCTCTCTTTACTGCACCATGCTACCTCACTTAAATTTCGTTTGAAAGAACAACAGGAACAAAATATCTGGGAATCACTAGCTACTCTGGCCGCTAGGTGGCGCAGTGGATAGAACATTGGGCTTGGAATCAGCAAGATTCATCTTCATGAGTTCAAATCCAGCCTCAGACATTTACTAACTGTTGGAGCCTAGGCAAGTCACCTAATCCTGTTTGCCTTCATCTGTAAAATGAGCTGGAGAAGGAAATGGCAAACCACTCCACTATCTTTGCCAAGAAAATCCCAAGTGGGGTCACAAAGAGTCAGACATAACTGAAACAACTGAACAACAACATCAAATAAAAGAACACTCAGTACCTGTCTAGACACAGTCATAAACTAGTCCCTAAAGGGAAAAAAAAGAACCATGTTATAATTGTTTGTGCAAAATTGCACAAATAATTATAACATGGTTCTTTTTTTTTTTTGCAAGTTTTGCAAAAATGCATGGTTCTTGCATTTGCAAGATGGCACAATGGATAGAGTGTCGGGCCATTTGCAGAAATAATTATAATATGGTTCTTTTGTTTTTTCCCTTTAGGGACTAGTTTAAGATTGTATCTAGACAGGTACTGAGTGTTCTTTGATTTGTGATTGTTGCTGTTGTCAGGAAGACCTGAGTAAAATCTGGCCTTGGATGCTTACTAACTGTTGGACACTGGGCAAGTCACTTAACCTCTGTTTGCCTCAGTTTCCTCATCTATAAAATGAGGATAACAAAAGAATGTACCTCCCAGAGTTGTTGTGAGGATCAAATGAGATAATAATTGTAAACTGCTTAGCACGCCTGACCCAGAGTATATAAATGTTAATTAATGTCATGCTAGGATATTGGTATCAGAGGGGCAATGACTGTGTGTAATTCATCTTATTCATCTATGTGGCTTATCTAAAGCTTCGCATATGGTAGATGCTTAATTTTTGTTGATTGAAAAATTCAATTTCCTCTCCATTGAATGACTTTTAAATATAGCCTAATTTAAACTTTATTTGTGGTCAAAGGTAAATCCATAGACATCTCCTGGATAGAGTATTGGGAGTTAAAAAGGGAAAAGTATTACACAAAAGATTTGAAGTTTTAGAACTGTGGATTTACAGCTGGAAAGAATCTTAAGAGGCTGTCCAGCCCAACCCCTTCATTTTATAGGTGAGGAAGATGAGGCTCAGGCAGGGCTAAGTGGATTACCCAAGGTTGCAAAGATATTGTTATAAGCAGCATTTGAACCCAGGTCCTCAAAATCCAGTCAGCCTTCTTTCTGTGATACTCTGCTGAAATAGCTATGCTGCCAGAGTGAAATGCAAAGGAAACTGGAAGAACGGCAAACCAGATGTTCTCAGCCTTTTGAGGGAGAAAAGAAATTTTTATTAACTTAGAGAAACATTGAGATCAAAGTCCAGCAGACCAAATAGTAAGGCATTTGTGTGCCATAGGCATGGCTGCAAAATGATGTTCTCTTCAAGTTCCTACCCTCTAAAGGCTCTGACCCGTCACTGTAAACACAGTCTTCACTTATTAAAAAAAAATTCCTACATACTGTGGAAAGCAGAATTTTCTAATGAAAAAAAAATGTGCATTTATAAATATTAAAAAGTATCCCTTAAGCCTCCCTTTGAGGCTTAAGTACCCTAGACAGGGTAGTCCCAGCTCTGATGGTCAGGTCCATGATTCAGAGATTAGAGAGTAGCGTTGCTTGGGAACTAGCTTCCAAAGGAAAGGGAGGTGTGGCTGGAAGTTGTGCCCAGAATCTGTACCCTTCCCTAGGTTATTTCAAACAGAAAGGGAGCATGATGCTGGCTTCTAACCAAACTCTTCTCTTAGATGGAAATGCCTAAGAGTGGTAGCTGTTGGCCCTCTAGTAACCTAGTTGGGCTTTGCAATCTTCCCTTCAAAATCAAAACAAGAATTGTTCTCCCATTATGGAAGCATTTGTCTGGATGTGGCTAAACCTAGACATCCTTGCACATAAACAAATCTCAAAAAAAGCATCCTGTTCCATAAGGGTTTTGCTGCTCCTCATTTTAAGCTAAGGGGGAAAAATGATTTTGAATTTAGCATTCCTCTATGTGGAATATACTGACCTAACCACATTTTCTAACTCCCAGTGAGCATAATGTTATTTTTAATTATCACAATTGGGGCAAGAGGGTAGTTAAGTTGTGGGATCAAAAAGGCAGAAGTTGCTGCCATCAGACTTAACAACGGCACCAGTTTCTTTACCACTGTGGGGTTTCCGGTAGATAGCTTATAAAAGTAGGAAGAATCCAGCACCTCGGGAATTGTGTCCCTACACTGATTTGTATTTTGTGGCTGTAGAATTGCATATATTGAAAGGAGAGAATGCAAGAAACTCTTGAGGCAGGGTATTACAGTTCGGAGAACCTGGTCACCCAAGTGGCTTTCCCAGTATGCTTTTATTTATGTGCCCCTAAACTCTGTGTACCTGGGAACAGTTTTGTGCATTGGACTGTGCAACTCTGGGATGCTGGGATTTCATGAAAGGTACTGAGCAATTAACTATGTCACAGCCAATGAGAGTTGTATTCTTGAGAATACCTTCTAAGCCCTTCCCTATTCTCTTGGATATGTTTGTACGAGAGATCAGGGGACCCAGATAAGTTTAAAAAAAAAAAAAGATGCAACAATCTCACTCTTAAGTGATTAAGATTTTGTAGGATACCATTGGCCCTAGTGACAGTTTACCACATATAAAGTCACTAAAAGAACATTCTTTTCAAAAATATTCTGATCCAAATTGTGAAAATTAGTGAAAATTTTATGAAGGTGGAGAAAAGATTTGGAGAAATTTGTTTTACTTCATTGAAGCCATTCAAAATAGCCCTGACATTTATAGATCTTATTCATTCATTCACTATCTATTAAGTACCTAGCTTGTGCAAAGCAATGAGCTAGATACTTTAGGAGAAACAAAGAAAATTAAGACACAGTCCCAGCCTTTAAGGGTCTTACCATTTGGCCTTATTAAATTTTGATCATTTCTCAGCTCGCTTCCAACTAAAAAAATCAGAATATGTTTTTCTATGACATTAGTCAACAATCCCTGATTTCAAAGCCTGCCTGGGACCAACCCTTCCTACCTTTGAAACTTTTACATAATATTCTTGTCTAGCCAGCATCCAGATTCAGGCTTTTCATTCCTATCTATCTACCAGGTGGGTGTAAGAAACTTATGGGAAAGTGTGCTTAGAGCAAAGACAATGACTTCCTAGTGATGAGGTTGGGAATAGGGAGAAGAAAGGGTGCAAGAAAGGGGGTGCAGGAGCTGATATTAGTCAGTCAGAGAACAACCCTTTATTAATTTAGTAAGCATTTACTATGTGCTAGGCACTGTGCTAAGCATTGGGGATATGAGGAAAGGCAAAAACACAGTCTCTACCCTCAAGGAGCACACATTCTAATGGGAGAGACCACATGAAAAAAATCATATATATATATGTGTGTGTGTGTGTGTGTGTGTGTGTGTGTGTGTGTGTGTAAGTGGAAGGTAGCCTCAAAGGAAAGGCATTAGAGATGGGGAGGTGAAGGGGGCAGGGAAGAGGATGGAAGAGACTGAGGGAGGCCACTTGGAGGAGGTGAGATTTCAGTTGGATCTTGAAGGAGCAAATCCAGGAGGCAAAGGCGAAGAGAGAGGGAATTCCAGGGATGGGAAATAGCCACCACAAAAGCAAGAACAATATCTCTCCTTTGAGATCTTCCAAATATTTTTCACAATCATCCTCTGAAGTAGGCAGTACAACTATTAATTCCCCCATTTTCAAATGAGAAATCAGACTCAGAGTCCAAGGACCTGGATTCACATTCTGCCTTCTTCACCTGCAAGACCTTGGGTGAATCATCTAACCTGAGCCTTAGATTCTTTACCTGTAAAATGAAGCAGCAGAACAAGATGGCCTTGGAGATCCTTCCAGCTCTAGAATTGAGTGACCCTATGACCTGAAGGTAGCAAGTAGCAGAACTGAGAGCCCATCTCATGTCTTCTGACTCAAGGCCCAGTGGTCTCTCCACTACCTCAAGGACTTCTTGCACCAAGTGTACCAGAAATCACTTCTATACTCTTTGACACAATGTGTAAAGCTCAATGACAGATATTTCCAGGTCAGCAAGGAGAACAGAGAAAATATTTCTCAGAAAGTTGAGATGCAGTATCTTTCTATTTGTAGAGAAAGCAATTACCTGTGGTCATCCTCACAGGAGAAAGCAATGTTCCTGCCTTCTATAATGGATTTCAGCTCTTTGATGGAAGAACCGGAGCATGAATCACTGGAAAGGGAAAAAAAGGATGAAGAACACAAACCTTGAAGATCCAGATTTTCCCTGTCTCCTGACTATTTTCCATGCAAGCTCAGTTTCCCTAGGAGTGGCTGCTTTTGAATGCATTCTGACAACCACAACATCTCATTGATGCATCGTGAAATGATATTGTATAAATTGTTGTTATCTAAAACTCAGATTACCTTGGCTGTCCCCCGATGTTGTGCATCACCCAAATCTTCATCAAATGAACTTTTTTTGGATTCAAATGGTGAACCTCCACACTTCCGAAAATGCTGAGACAGAGGGGACACAGAACAGAACATGGCTTTCAATAGCAAATTCAAGACGCTGGCAGACTTTAGCTGGCTGTTAGAAATTATTACCCACTTAACACAAGGGACAATAAACTACCCATTTGGGATGAAAGGCACGATTTCTATTCTGAAATGCAACATTTAGTCATTCATCCATATGACCTTTCTCGCCACCACAATGTCCTCTGTTTTAAGTCAATAATGGGCATGTCACGCTATGCACTGGGACTGATCTCTAGCAACATCAGCAAATATCTTCCCAGAAGCACAAGTGGAAGTCATGGAGTGAATCCTTCTCATTATAAATTATCACAATTCAGGATTAGTCCCACTTTCGGTAGGATTTCCCTGGGTCCTTTTGTTGGTCCAGATACACCTGTGCATAGAGGAATATATGCACCTCTTTCTGTCTCTCTCTGTCTCTGTCTCTCTCTGTCTCTTTCTCTCTCTCTCTATATATATATATAAACATGTACACACATATATGTACATGCATACATATATACATATATGCATGTATGCATACATATTCGTAGATATACACTTTATTTCTAGCCCTACAGCCCATTCCCATGATCCTTCTTCAGGCATTTCTGAAAGCAATGCCTGCATGAATCACTGACAGGTGCTACTTCTCACCCCAGTAAGACAGTCTTGCAAGAACTTGCATCATATATTAGCAACTTGACTATAATACTCTGGAATGTTACCTTTTTTTTCCCCCCCAAGGCTCTCAAGGGGAATGAAATAAGAGATAAAAACTTTTTTTTTCTAAGAATTGACTCTGTGTTGAGAAAGGAATTTGATCAATCGATCAACAAATACTTATTGACCTTAAATCTCCAGCTACATGCTGTTGAGGGGAGAAAGGGAGATCAGGAAAAGGAAGTACTAGTACAGGTTACTCTGTGCCCAGCACTGTGCAAGAAAAAATAGTAAAGTTTAAGAAATGGCCCCTCCTTTCATGGTGTTTATAATAGAGTGATGAAAATGAAACTCATACACATGGGTCAATTAAAGAACAATTAAGGATAGGAATGCAAGGAAGCATAGTGGAAAGGGTATGGAACTTAAAAGGTCCTGAATTTAGATCTTTCCATGACCACCTTCGTCTTGTGACCTTGGACAAGTGACTTCCTCTCTCTGAGTCTCAGTTTCCTCATCAGTAAAATAAGGGAAATGGACTAGAGCAGTGGTATGAAACTGAAATAGAAATCTGTCCCTGCAACTTACATATTGATTTAGAAAACCACAAACTAACGTTATCTATGTTATATTTCCATTTATTTTGTTAAATATTCCCTCATTACATTTTAATCTGGTTTGGTGGTACTCAGAGTTTTGTCTCAGTGGTGAGTTTGACACCACGGTCCCAACATTAAAACCTATGATCCTCTGATCTTTAAGTAGAAAGAGCCCTGGATTTGGAGTCAGAGGGCCAGGATTCCTATAGTAGGCATTTAAAATGCTAGTTCACCTCCACATAATAGTCTTTCTCTCTTCCTTCAAGACTCAGAACAAGCATCATCTTTTATCTGAAGTCTTTCCTAATCTCCCCAATTGCTAGTGCCCTCCTTCTCAAACTCTTTATTTATTTGTATTTATTTACTTTTTTCAGGCTGTATATATTTTCACATTTATTTGTTGCCTTCTCTATCAGAATATCAGCTCCTGGCCAGTAGGGATCAGTACTTCTTTGTAGGTATATCACCAACTACCTAGGACAGTGCCTGGTATCTAGAAGGTGCTTGATTGAATTGAATATAATGAAACAGCACTTCAGGAAACTTAGTCTGGTAATGGGGTTCAGGAATTTTAACTTCTTTTTTGGCCCAGAGCTTCAAGGAGACAAAAAAGACTGAATCACAAATCTCCCAAGACTGAAATTTAATTTAGTTTAACTATCCAGAAGATAAAGCTCACGCATGCATATACATGATCTCATACATACACACAAGACATAACAACAACAGCTAGTACCTGCTGTTTCCAAAAGGTTGGCTGATTGACCCGTTGAGCATCACATGGACAACCCCACAGGCTGCTTCTGCAAACTGAAAACATGCCCAGCATTCTTGTGTGTGACAATATTTAGCTTGACTAGATGATTATATAGAAATAGTTGGTGGTTTAAACATTAAAAGGACCTCTTAGGAGATAGTAGGGAAAGCATAGTGCTATTTTTGGGGAATAGCTGAAAGAAAAAAACAGCTAATTGTCCCATTACTTACCTTAGAATATATATATCAGTGTCACCTCTTTCTAATTTCTGTTTCCTTTGTTTCTTCTCATCTGTATACCATCTGTTTTACTACCTTCTAACTATAAGTGGCACAGTGGACAGAGTGACAGCCCTCGAATCAGGAGGACCTGAGTTTAAATGTGACCTCAGTCACTTACCAACTGTGTGACCCTGGGCAAGTCACTTAACCCAATTTGCCCTGGTTCTTCATCTGTAAAATGAGCTGGAGAAGGAGATGGCAAGCCACTCCATTATCTTGTCCAAGAAAACCCCAAATAGGGTCATGAAGTGTTCCACACGACTGAAACAACAACAATCATAGCACAGAACATGGACATAGCCCAAAGGGAATTACAAGGAAGAAAAAACTGTACACTAAAGTCAGATTCTTCATTTTATCCATTCAAATTAATATTCTCACTAACTTATTAAAATAGTTTTTGAAGATTGCCGTGGTCAAAAATTTCATCTCCCTGAGGCCAACCCTGTGATGGTCCTGCCTGAGCAGAAGTAAATTGATTCTTGGATGACAGATATACAATCCACCCCTGGGCCTGTCCTCAAAGCCTCTCCACATTGCCAGGACTTGCCACAGTTCATGTTCTGTTGCCATAGCCTTTAAGAACCTATGGTCACCATCAAACCATGATAACACATCAGAGGAAGACTTCAGTGAAAGATGGTTCTGCCCTTTATTAAGCATGGAGCTTAATAAATAAATTGAATTTGTTGTTGCTGTTATTATTATTATCTCACATTTGTACAGTTTTTTACATTCATTATCTCATTTGATCCTAACACGCTGTAAGTTAGACACTAAGTTTTTTACTAATGAGGAAATTGAGGCTCAGAAAAAAAAATTAAGTGACATGTCCAGTGTCACGTATCCAGTCGGTATTGGAAGAAGGATTTAAACACAAGTCTCTCCTGATTCCAAGTCTAGCACCTTTTCTGCTGTGATGTTTGTATTTCACAAGGAGTCACATCATTGAATAAAGGTCTGGATTATAGAAAGATGGGTTTTTGTACTTCTCTCTAGATTAGGTAAAAATCCTGGTGAGATGGAGCACAGAGAGTAGCCTCCCATAGCCTTTTCAAGAACATTACTGATAGCCTGACTATTGCCTTCCAACTCAACTTACATTTAGAAACAAGGGTAACTTCATAGTGTTTGTGATGGAAGAGGTTTTTCTTAGCAAGTCAGTTTGTTTTTAATGTTAGAGAGCATAGTGGCCCAGAAAGAACAGGGAGATATTTGGAGATCGGGGGAAATGTAAAACAAGGTTAGGGAGATCTAAAGAGATGATTGGTTTGTGGCTTATTCTTGTCTGTGTCAGGGAGCTGCAAGAATATGCAAAATACCAATGAAAGGTAGATTGTTTTGTCCTATCTCCAGAAAAGGCAAGGAGTCCACTCTAGATAAATTAAGCCTTGCTCAGGAACCCCTACTACCTGAAGACCCAGCCCAAATAACAGGCATGAAGATAGAAAGTTTACCCTAACAACTAGTCACAAAGGTTAGTGAAAAGAGCTAGCAAAATGAAGTGATGGAATCGAATCTTGATTTGAGGAAATTCAGAGGGAATCTGGTGGTAACCTACAGAGCATATGGCCTGTTTATGCTGTTACCCAGGCAATACGGTGTAGAAACATTACGCGTATTGGGAGAAAGTGACAGGCTCAAAGGAACAAATCTCCCCTCCCCAGGTCATCAGGGACAATGAAGGGGAAAATTGTTTCAATGAGGAAATGAAATAAAAGGAAATGAACAGAAGGCAATTTCCCCATGTGTCAGAAAGCTGAAGGGTAGAAGAATGTGCTACAGAGAAGGAAGGAAAGAAGAAAGACCCTTGAATAATTGGAGGTAAGTAATAGTTATGAGACTCTTCCTGTAGAGAGAGAACTATACTGTGTTAGAAGGAAGCAATCTCTTGTGCTACAAGAAATGTGATTTGTATGTACCAGGTAAGAGATTTGTATGTACCAGAAATTGATTACAGAAGTGAAAGTAAATAGGAGTGGTTAGTGGCTCTGTGCTGAGGATTCCTGGGGCAGCTACTGTCAACCCAACATGGACAGCGAAGAGTTTTGTTGTTATCTCAGGCTAAATGAGAAAAGCTTCCCAAGACTTGTTAATGCTGGTGACTGCTACCCATTTCTGGTGACATTATGTTGTGAAAAATTATTTCATCAGAAGGAACCTGTAAAACTTTGCTAAGAATTTATAGTTATGGAGGAAAAATCCTGAAAACTTCAGAGGCACAGGTGGTGTTTTTACCACTACTTTTGATAGAAAGAAGGGAATGGAAAAGGGAAAGGCAGTTGTGGGGAATGAAAAACTCTCTAAGAGTATGGTGTCTGAGAGGATTTTTGGAGGATGGAATTAAATATGGGAACAATGACTCCTTGTCCAAAAAAGAAGTATACCTAAGGATGAGCAAAAATATATTTACATGTATTCTTATTAATCTGATCAAGAAACATCTACACTTAAAAAAGGATGAGAAAGGAATGCCCACAAAGACATTATCTGCCCATTACTACAGGCATTGCAATAAGTTTGATTTTAATTCTTGGGATAATCCTGGAATGGATCATTAAAAAGATGTTTAGTGAGTGAACATTTAGAAACGGATGTGATGATTACGCAGAACTAGCAATAGTTCCATTCCATTTAATGGAAATCTGTAGATAGAGTTTAACAATATTTCAGAAAAGCATGTTACAAATTCTCATATTATTATCATGAAAAAGATGGAGAAAGGGCAGAAAACAAATGCTTGCAAATTTTAAAAAAGTTTTAATTTTTAAAAGAAAAAACATGGAGAGAAGTTGACTAGACAATATATTATTTATATAAATTTGTTTTAGTAATATGAGTAGTTCTGATCAGAGAATAGTTGTTATGATTCAGTGTCAACTTGGCAGGTTTTCCACTGGAGTGCCTCTGACTTCTCTGCTTGGCCTTGTGCTCTTCATAATTTTGTCGATAATTTTAACAAAAGCATAGATCATATGCTCATCAAATTGGCAGTTGACACAAAACTGAGAAAAAAACTAACACACTGGATTAGAGAGTCAGAATCAAAAAAGACATAGACAAGACTGTACTGTTGGGCTGAATCTAATAAGATAAAATTTAATAGGGATGAAAAAGTCAGCTTCATAACTACAGAATAGATAGTGTTTACACTGAAGTATGCTATTTTCTTTCTTTTTCTTTTTGTTTTTTGTCTTTTCTTTCACATGGTTTTTCCCTTTTGTTCTGATTCTTCTTTATAACATGACTAATATGGAAATATGTTTCATATGATTATACAAGTATAGCCTATATCAGATTGCATGTCGTCTTGGAGAGGGGAAAGGGGAAGGAGGGAGGAAGAAATTTAGAACTCAAAAGTTTATAAAAGTGAATGTTGTTCTATCAGGTATTCTTGCTTAATTGTTTTCCTTTGTTACATGGGATAGGGTTGAGGGTGAAGGTCTTTTTTTTTTCCAAAGAAATTATGGTGCTATATAGATAAAAGATATCATTAAAACAGAATAACTCCTAAAGAGAGAAAAGTAAATCAGTGTTTAATAATAAAATTTAGTGTAGATCAGCTATTATTATAGTATAGTCTTGACTTATCAGTTTAGTAATCCTGTCAAAAAAGGAAATAAGGTCAGTCTGGCATGAGCCGTCCTTGAAGAAGCCGTGCTGGCCTTTTGTGATCACTGATTCCTTTTCTAGGAGTTGTTTATTAATCATTTTTAATGGTACATTCTAGAATTTTCTCTGCCATTAAAGTCAAGTTTATTGGCCTTTAGCTTTGCATTAACTCTTTCACAAAATTCTCTCTCATTTGTGCTCTTGGAGGCCATTTTTTTAGTCAAATGCAAACATTCTTGAAACATTCACTGTGTCATTTTGGGTGTTAAATATAGTCAGAAGCTAGGCAATGGTGAATAAAAACTGCCATATAGTCAGTTGTAGGATATTAGGTTGGTTGCTGGTGTTCTATTTTGAGAAGAGAAAAGGAGAAGCATGGGAAATAACTGGAATTTATGTAAGACCTCAAGGGGATGAATTGCAAAGATTCTCTGGAAACAAAAATCGGAGGGAGTTTAGGATTTTAAAGCTATGAGGCACCTTAGATCAAATGTAGCCCAATCTCCTCATTTTAAAGACAAAGAAACTCAGACCCAGAGAGATGAAGTGATTTGGATAACAGTAAATGGAAGAGTCAGAATCTGAAGCCAGATCTCCTGACTCCAAATATCTTTTCTATTGTGCCATGCTGGATTCTCAGTGAATATTGTCTTACTTGTTTTTTGTCTTTGTTTCTCCAGCATTTGGCACTATCTCACACATAAGAGATACTTAATAAATGCTGAATTGAATTTAAAAAAAAGTGAATGTTGAAAACTAAAAATAAATAAATCAACTTAAAAAGGAAAAAAAAGAAAAGGACAGATAGCATTTTGTTTGAAAAGAATCTGACAATTTTAGTAAGTTGGAGAGATGTCATGTGTCAGCCCCTAAAGATACTGAAATCTCAGGCATTAAGAGTATCATTGCTTCCAGAAACAAGGAGGTGGTAGCCCCACTGTAGTTTGCCTTGATCAGACCAAATATGAAGTACTTTGTCCAGTTCTGGACACTACTACTTTAGGGGGCTACTTATAAGCTGGAACAAATCCAGAGGAAGCAACCAGGATAGTGAAGGGACCTGGAGTTCTTGTCTTACAAGGATGGGTTGAATGAATTAAGGAAGTGGAGCATGATAGCTATCTTCAAACATTGGAAGGGCTGCCATATGCAAAAGTTATTAGACCTTTCTGTTGATCCCCATAGGGCAAAACCAGGAGCAATTAGTGGAAGTTGTAAAAGGGTAAATTTAGGTCTGAGGAGAAAGGAAAAACTTCCCACCAATTAGAGCAATTTATAAATGCAGCAGGCTGCCTTGGGAGATAATGAGTTCCCCTTCACCGGAGGTCTTTGAAGCAGAGACGGGTCACCATTTTTCGGGGATGTCATAATACTGAAATCCCCTCCAACTCAAAATGTTGATTTTTTTTTCTTTTATACCATAGAGAATAGCACGTACAACATTCAATGAATAGTAGAAGAGAGTGTCGAGAGTCGATATCGAAGAAGGGAATAAGCAATAAAGCCCCTGGCATCAGGTTTCAAAGTGTGGGGCAAGTCAAATCAGCAAGCATTTATTAAGTACCTACTGCATGCTGGGCACTGTGCTAAGTGTTAGGGACATAAAGAAAGGCAAAAGTAATCCCTGCCTTCAAGGAGCTCACAATCAAACAATGGAAAAAAATGGGTGATAAATAGGGTGAACTAGATTTCCTAATTCAAGGAGGCAATTGGAACTCATAGCATGCAATATGCCTCCAGGAAGAGAAACCTCATTTAAAAGGAACAGACTAGATAAAAAGGGGGTAGAACTCAAGGGAAGGAATATGGTGAAGAATATTTCAAAAAGGGAAGAGGGAGAAAGAAGTGGTATTGTCTAGACTGCTTGAACAGAAGAATGAATCAGATGAGTAGTTCAGAAAATTCCCTATAAAGAAGAGTAACATAATAGTGACAGGAGATTTCAATTAACTGGACATACATCTCACTACCACTAATATAATTGTTGTTCTTTTTTTTGTTTTGTTTCATTTTTTGTTTGTTTTTTTAAAGACTAGGTCTTCTAGGTCTCCCTATGTCTCTCAGGCTGGAGGCGTAGGTTCTCCTCAGGGGCTGATCTCACTACTGATCTTCCTTCTGGAGGCTCACCACAGTGATGCCGAGTTTAGTGCAGACACTTGATTAGTTTAACCCACTAATGCTCAGAACTCCAGAGCTCAAGAGACTTGCCAGTCTCATGTCCCTCAGTAGCTGGGATTACAAAAGTGCGTCACCTCTCCCAGCTACCAATATATTTGTAACTTAATTTGTTAGTTTCATCCTTCAAAAGGTAGAGGCTGTCACAAGGGGAGCTGTTATTCCAGAGCCGATTCTAACCAGTAAGTAGAAATACTTCCTTTAGAAGAAATCAAGTGAAACTAGAGGGTGTGTGAACATTGTATCACAGAGTTGGTGCTGGAGAGGAGAGGAAGTCTAGATACAATCTAACACTCATCCTAGATTTGGTGAGACCTAAGTCAAAAAGAAAGAATAGGTAGGATCTAATGACCTAATGGTCTATTAGGGAGGACTGGAAAGCTCTTAAGACTGACATTGTGAAGACAGGGTGCTAACTAAAGAAACTGACAGGGTGGGGCAGGGTAGCCAAGTGGTTAGAGCTCCAGCCTTGGAGGCAGGAGGATCCGAGTTCAAATCTGGTCTCAGATATTTCACACTTACTAGTTGTGTGAACCTGGGCAAGTCACTTAACCTCATTGCCTAGAAAAAAACACACATGCACACACACACACACACACACACACACACACACACAAAACAACAAGACTGACATTCTAAAGAGAAAGGGGAGCTAACTAAAGAAATTGATGTAGTTCTACATGGAATGTGTTGACCAGCTCATTTTTAAACATACTGCAACTAAAGCAAGCCTCAGGTGAAAAATCATATCCCTACAAACACACACTGACAAAATAAAAAAAAGAGAAGATTAGCAAACTAAATATACATTTTAAAAAATAGAAAGCCAAAAAATAAACAAACCTAAAATAAATACAAAATAGAAAATATTAAAAATTAGTGGAGAAATAAATTAGAAACAAAAAACCATAGAAATAATAAACACAGCTAAAAATTAGAATTTTGAAAAGACTAATAAAATTAATAAATCTTCGGCTGATCTTTAAAAGGACAGAAAATCAAATCAATAAAATAGCCAATGACAATAGCCATAACAAGAAGAAATTTAAAAAATCAGAAACTTTTATGCTGTTATATGCTAACAAAACTGAGACTACAAAAGAAATAGAGGAGTTTTTTCTGAGATTGGACTATTTAGGATCTCTAATGGGCTATTTGGGCTATTTAGGATCTCTAATCTCTAATAATCTTTTGATAATTTGAACATTTTATATATATTATGTATATATATATATACAGTAAAGGAACTATCAAAGGAAAAAAAAAAACTCCTGGTACTTACGGATTCATAGGAGAACTCTCACACTTTTAATTAGTACACATACTATATAAAATATTCTCCAAATTTTGGAAATAAAGCACTTACCAGAATCCTTCTATGAGACAAATGCAGTCTTAATATTGAAACCAGAGAAGGATAAAACATGGAAGGAAAGCTATAGGCCAGTATCATTAACGAATATCAATTCAAAAAATTTAAACAAAATCCTGTTAAACAGAATACAGCAATTTATCCAAGAAATCACTCATTATGACTGTTAGGTGTACAAGGATGGGTCAGTGTTAGGAAAATAACACAATCACATTAAAAACTAAAACATCCAAAGCTACATGATTATTTCAATAGATGTAGAAAAATCCTTTGACAAAGTATAGCACTCATTTATGCTAAAACAACAACAAATTATAGGCATTGAGAAATCTTTTTATTAATATCATTAAAAAAATTGATCTGAAACCAAAAGCAAGCACCATATGCAGTGGTAATATATTAGAACCTTTCCCAACAAGTACAAGAGTAAAATAATGATGCCCACTCTCTCCACTGTTATTTTATATAGTTCTGGAAATACTAGCAACAATAATGAGACAAGAGGAAGAAATTAAAGGCATAAAGATAGGCATAGAAGAGATAAAGCTATCTCTATTTGCTAATTATATGATGGTATACTTGGAAAATCCTAGGAAATTAGTCACCAAAGATACTAATTACACAATTAATAACTTCAGTAAAGTTGCAAACTACAAAATAAACCCTCAAAAATCAACTGCATTTCTATAATAGTAATAAAATCTAAGAAGCAATAATAGAAAGGAAAATCCCATTCTAAATAACTGCAAAATAAGGAACAATCTGCCAAAACACACACAAGACTTGCATAAATCCATGTACATAATACTTCTTAATGATAAAAAGAATAATTTAAATACCTGAAAGTACATTTAGTACTCATGACTAGGCCATGTTAATATACATAAGATGAAAATATTGCCAAAGTTAATTTACACTTTTAATGCTATACTAATCAAATCACCGAAGGGATACATTATAGAACTTGGTAAAAATGATATCAAAATCCACTTGGTAAAAAAGATATGCTTAGGAAGGTAGAAGCAAAGGAAGGAAACTGAGGGTGAACATGAAAGAACAGTGTACTGTACTTCCCTTAAGAATAGCACCAGGAACTCAAAATCCCAGGATGGGCTGTGGCTGGAAATGGATGCTAAAGACAACAAAGCATGGTTTGGGTTTGTATTTTTATGGCATTTTTTTTGCTTGCTTGTCTTGTTGGTTTTAGCTGTGTTGTGGGTAAGAAAAGGATTAAAGAAAGAATATGACCACAGCAAAAGGTAGATGAGACGATTGTAATGGAAAACAGGGACAAAACTGAACCACTGAATTCTCGTTTTGCTTTTCTTTATTCTTCCAAGGAGAATGATCTTTGCATTAGGAAGGACAACCTGAAAATGGTTGTGGGTGATTGGGATGGAACAGAAGCACAAGTTATGAGATTGCATGGTAACAAGAATTCCCTGACGTAACTGACAGATGTCATTGGTGAGTGGTCTTTTGAAGGAGAAAGCCATTTGTAGTGTATGGCATGCTGGATTTGAAGCCAGAAGACCACGATTCAAATCTAACCTCTGCCACTGACTGACTACCTGTCTAACCCTGGGCAAATCACTTAACCTCGTTTAGCCTCAGTTTATTCATCATCAAAATGAAAGGATTGGACTCAATCTCTAAGGTCATTTCCACTCTAAATCTATGATCCTCACAGCCACAATTATATAATACTTTACAGCTTGCAAAGATGTGACTTTTCAAGGTAGGTTAGGCAAATATGATTAGCCCTATTTTACATATGGGGAGACTGAGGCTCTGAAGGGATTTGCCCAAGGCAATTTGTTAGCATCTGAACTAGGACTCAGAAACCAAATCTTCCAACTTTTAAGTTCAATGCTCTTTTTACCACCCTCTGAAGCTATGATTCAAACAAAGTACTTACAGCTCTGGAAGCCATTTTCCAATATACTGAGCTGGGGTTGTTGGCACATTCACGCCAGTGTGGGCAAGATTGATAGTTCATTTCTGAAAAAGATATTTTGTGCAAAATAAGGAAGATGAAAGGAGAGGTTGTAAAACACGTTTCATGATACTGCCACAATGCAGTAATGACAAAGAAACCTTCAGATCACATTCCTGCCAAGTGGGTGTGAAGGGAATAGTGAAAATGGACAAATATTGGCCCAATCCAACTAAGTGCTTCCTGGAATCCTATCCAAGCATTCAACTTATTATCCAAGATCTAGACAGGAACACAGTGACTATATTTGAGTCATCATTCTGGGAAATACCTATGTGAACATTCCCTTTAAGGAAGCTTGAAATGGAAGGCCCAGCCATGGGATGTCACTCACCTACACCAGCCCCTAAATGAATCAAAGGAATGAAGCCTGGCTCATAGTGACCTCCTGCCAGGGTTGTCCAGGGATATAACTTTGAGGTAGGTGAACTTTGTCTCCATCATTCACAGACTCTCCTTTCTGTACCCTTTGCTCACCAGTCTATGACATTTCCCGTAGTTAGGTTCCCAGCTGCCAGATGTTTTTTCACCCTTCATTCTACCAACTCTTGTTCTCTGGAAAACTCTGCTATTAGTTCTCTATACCTCAGTTAGAATTGAATTCAATTTGTTACCTCTCCTATGGTTTTACATTTTAAGCCTAACCTCTGACTGTGGAATAAAATGCTTTGCTTCCTTGATCCTTGTAGAATATCCTCAGGGCTACTCTAGCTAACCTAATATTGACATTATCCAACTATTGTCATTAGTCATTGAATCTCCTTCCTAACATGTATCAGTGTGGGGTAGTGGATGGAGTGCTAGATTTGGCATCTGAAGACCTGTGCTAAGATCTCCATGCCAACACTTATTAGCCGTGTAACTGTTTAGCCAAGTGTTTAACCGTTTTGTGTCTCAGTTTCCTCATCTTGAAAGTGAAAATAGTTGGGTAGCTAGGTGACACAGCAGATAGAGTGCCCTGCCTGGAGTCAAGAAGACCTGAGTTCAAATCTGATCTCAGATCCTTACTAGCTGTGTGACCCTGGGTAAATCACTTAACCTGGTTTGCCTCAGTTTCTCATCTGTAAGATAAGCTGGAAAAGGAAATGGCAAACCACTCTAGTATCTTTGCCAAGAAAACTCCCAAAAGGTTCCCTAATAGTCAGACATGACTGAAAAAAGACTAAACAACAAAAATAACACAATACCTACTGAACAGGACCATTGTGAGAAATGTACTTTATAAACCATGAAAATTTATGGAATTGTGAGTTACTATTGTTGTTCCCTTCTTTTAATCACATCTCCATATTAGGCAGAGACATTCAATTCTGTATAAGGGAAAGGAATTTGGAGCCAGAATATCTTAGTTGGAACCCCAGCTCTGTCTCTTGCTAGCTGTGTGACCTTGGGCTGGTTATTCTTCCTCTTGGGTCCTCGGTTTCCTCCTCTGTCAAATGAGGAAAGTGGACAAGATAATGTCTGAGGTTGCTAGCTCTTGCTCCTAGAACCCTATTTAAAAAAAATACCTCAAAACCTTCTTTGATAGAAGGTAAAGTAGGGCAGCTAGGTGGTGCAGTGGATAGAGCACCGGCCCTGAAGTCAGGAGGACTTGAGTTCAAATCTGGCCTCAGACCAAACACTTGGCACTTACTAGCTGTGTGACCCTGGGCAAGTCACTCAACTCCAATTGCCTAACAAAAAAAAAAGATAGAAGGTAGAGTATAAACCTTAAATGAAGATATTTGGGAATGTGACCTCCCAACAGAGTATAGAGCCCTTTCCTCTCACAGATTCTAACAAATTTGTACTTAAGTCAGACTGAAAGATGGAAATAACTGTCTTTAAAAAATGAAATGGAATTATTTTGAAATCAATTGAAAAATGGTAGTAGTTGACTATATCCCTTAAATAAAAAGCAATTAATTTCTCGAGTAGTAAAATAAACAATTTCACCATTCAATCAAAATATTTCATTTTTATTTCCCTAACACCAGAAGAAAAAAAAGAAACCTGAAAGTGTTACCAAATAATTGCAATTCAGTGGACTTTTAATCAACCATCAAACATTTATCATTAAAAAGTTTAGAAATGTTTCCCAATCCTCAATTTTGTTAAGTGGATTTAATGTTGCTATAAATCATCTTCACCAACCTTAGGGATTTTCTAATTTGCAAGGTGTTATTAAGAATGGCATTAGCTGTGACACCTGGCAAAATAAAGGCGGCATCAGGATAATTAAAATACAGAAATAAATGGGAATACCTCAGATTAGCTATATACAGGGTCATGATGTCAAGCTTAAACTATGAAAAAGGGAAAAGTCACCTGTTGCTCCTCCTTTAACAGAAAATCTCACCTTTTAAACTGTTGCATTTTCACTTCCATATAAAATGAATGTCCTCCTCCCCACTCCCCACCCTTTGCTAGGTGAAGAAACTCTAATTTCAAACTCCAACATTGAGGACTGTTTTTAAAAGAGCTTTTATTTAACAGACTTCTTAGTTTGTTAGTTAGTTAGTTAGTTTTAGTGCTAAAGTTCCAGGATGAAAACACATCAAAGCCCAGTATTTGACATTATATAAAAGGGGTAAAAATCATCAGAGCTAGAAAGGATTTTGGGGACCATTAAGGACAACCCTCTCAATTTATAGATGAGAAAACTGAGTCACCTTGAGGTTAAATAACTTGCCAAGTGTCACACAGCTAATACGTGTCCAAGGTGGGATTTTAACCCAGGTATTCCTGACTCCAAGTCCAAGACTATCAGCTACATCATGTTGCTTAGCCAATCTCCATCACTTCTCCCCTTAACCTGCTCCAAAATAAAAATCATGGGAAAAAGATATAAAAGATTAAGGAGGCAGCACAATGTAGTAGAATTCTAGAGACTTGGGTGCTAATTCTACTTCTGTAACTACCTAGCTGTGTGACCTTGTATTAATAACTTAACCTCTCTGGGATTCAATGCCTTCACTTTAAAACAAGGAGATTGGACTAAATGATCTCATCTATGTCTAAGAAAAGATGATTCTGAATCATGTGAATAGATCAAAGCAAAACAAAACATTCAAGAAATGTTCTAAAAATTTTAAATACTAAATTTTTAGAGAAAGCTTTCTAAAAATCAGAATATAGAGGCAAAATTTATAGAGTATGGAAAAATTCATAAGTTAGGGGAGCCTTAGTTGAGAAAGAGGCAATCAGGAGTCAGGTTAGCAATATGAGAAAATAGATTTAAAGAAGAGGCATTCTGGGAATGATGAAAACTCTGAAATATTTTCTTTTTTTGCAAGAGCATGGGGAGCTGAGCATATGCAACAGATGCTACTTAAAGACCTAAGATTAAGAACAATTGTGTTACAAGGGATAAAACACTGGATTCAGTACCATAACACCTGGTTTTGAGTCCTGGCCCTAACCATGTTGTTTTCCTTCACTGAACCTGTTTCCTCATTTGCAAATTGTGCCAGTTTTTTTTTTTTTAGTCCAAAAATTGGTTTATGATCTTTCATTGCAGAATCGTCACATGGTGTAATTCTGTTCATCGCATGGCTTAAAAGGTAAACAGAGCAGCAATGTATTCATTAGTGGCATATGGATATGCATTTATCTCTTGTGCATTGGGAGCCTAGAATTCTCAGCTCATGGGCATTGTCGGCATATTTCCAAAAGCTGACTTGTGTGGTTTGTTTAGAGCACTGAAGTACTAATGGTATTGTCACTCAACCCAATGAGGAGCTGTAAGTACAAGGGGAGCAGGCGGGCAGGCAAAGTGAGTAAGTCACTCGATATGGTAAGACGCGCATCTTCTCTTGCTAGCTAAACTGTGCAGTTCATCTGCCATGATGGTTGAGATTTAAAACCAAACATTACCATCCTTAAAGATGATGAGAGAGTACCTACCCAGCCTCAGTGAATTCAAAACACCTGATAAACTACATCTCTAGGTCCTGAAGGAAATGGCAAGCACGATTGTTAAATCATTGTTTATTATCTTTGCGGCACATATTATTAAAGGGATTATTAAAAGGAACATCTAGAAGTGGAGATCACAAAGAGAAATGAACTACGTCAAAAGCAGGTCTTACATGAACACTATTTCTCTCATTGCCTGCCTAGTCAGCCCTTCTTAGTATCCTTTACTGGATCATCATCCTTATTTCCAAAATGTAGGTACAGCCCAAGACTTTATCCTATATCCCTTCTCTGGTGCATTGATTTGGACTATTCAATTTTAACATATATTCACGAGTATTCCATATATCCTAATCTTGCACCAAAGACAGCTTAGTAATACATGATTTTTAAGTAATACTGACACAATTTTTTAAAAGCGTCACAAAATGGTCTCGATCCGCTTTTAGCAAAATATTTGGCATAAAATATGCAACAATTATGTGGTGAAATATGGTAATACTTATACTGCTTGCCTACAGAGTTCTTTTGAGGAAAGTACCCTGGCAACCTTAAAGAGGCACAGAAAGCAAAAGGATTTCATTCACTCTGAATACTCCTAAATTAGTGAAAATGTTAAAACTCTCACCTGAACTTGAAGGGTTTCCACACCACGTGAGTCCATCAGCCATGTAGCCCAGCAGTGTGTCCTCCAGAGTGAGGAAATTGCCCTGCACTTTGGTGTACTTATGAGCCAGCTCATTGGTTTTGCTCCAAAGGAGGGTCTAAGAAAGAAGAGGCAATTGGTCCATCCCTATCTATCTTGTCTTCTCCACCAGCCAATCCCATCTAAATTATTGGGTTCAGATCAGATCCCATTGAGATTATTGGGTTCATGGCTGGATCTATTGACAAACTGCAGTGTCCAGGGGAGAGTGACTAGGACAGTGAAGGGACCTGATCACTACATCGTAAGAGAAACATATGAACAATTGGGGATATTGAACTCAGAGAAGACTTAAGGGTATGTGATTTTGATCTTGAATTGTATAAAGGGGTACCTTGTGAAAGACTTGTTTATTTAGAAAACAAAAATATAAGCAATAAGTAGAAGTTAAAGAGGAGCAGATTTGGGCTCAATTTAAGGAAAAAATTTCTTAGTACCGAGAGTCTGGAAGATCTGAGTTCAAATCTGATTCAGACACTTACTAAGCTGTGTGACTGTAGGCAAATTACTTAACCTCTCTGTGGCCTCAGTTTCCTCATCTATAAAATAAAGATAATAAGAGCACCTACCTTACAGGGTTGTTGTGAGAATCAAATAAAATAATGTTTGTAAAGCACTTTGCAAATCTTAAAGTATAAATATTACTATTATTGTTATTATCTGATACAATCAAGCCTGTGGAATCTTCATATAGAGTGGTTGGATAACCATCAATCACAGATATTATAAAGGGTATTCCTGTCTTGGTTGGGAATTTATACTATGAGATCTAAGATTCCTTTCAACTTTGATCCTAGAGTGAGCACTGCAAGGGACTTCAGAAGTCATCTGGTCCAACATTTTGCTGATGAAGAAACTGAGGCAAAGAAATGGTGGGTGATTTGCACAGGGTCACACAGCTGTTAAGTGCCTGAGGGCAGAATTTGAGCCTAGGTCTTACTGATGCCAAGTCCACTATGACACGCTGACACATTGAGATTGTATTCATTATTCGTAGGCTTTCAAATATGAGAAAGGACAGGTTTTCTGGTTAGGTACATCTATGAGTGTTAGGTGGATGTGTGGTGGGGGTGGGGGGAGGGCAAGAATAATTGCACTTGCAAACCTTTTTTTTTTTTCTCTAAGCTCTCTCACATCTTCTAATCCATTTGATTCTCATGACTTCTTGAACAGGTTTGGGTTTTTTAAATCATTATTTATAAAATTGAGTAGCTGCTATTTAGTGTCACCTCTATTGGTAATTGACTATATTTCCCTGAGCGACTCAGTTTCCCCTCTGAGTCTGAGTTTTTTCACCTATAAAATAAGAAGTTGGACCAAGTAGTCTCTACTGTCCATTTTACCTCTAAAATTCTGTGAGAACAGAGGTGGTTAAATAATTTCCCCAAGATCACATGACTAGTTAAGGGGTAGAGGGAGTGTTAGGACCCAGGTCTCCTCTGTCCTAATTAAGTTTTCTGCAACAGTAGTGAAGCTGTGGTTGAAGAAAAACTTTATGGACATCCTCCAAATTCCCCTTTGCCACAGTAGGAAGTTAGGAAAGATTTAGACAGTCTCAGGGGAGAGAATCAGACCAGATGCACAGTTGGGGGCCCTAAGGAGGGTATAATACACTAAAGATAATGCATTTGGACCTTTCCTCTTGAACTTAGAATGGAAGTGTGGCACAGTGGATAGACCTGGGCTCAAATCTTGCCAATACTTACTAGCTCTGTGACCCTGGACATATCGTTTAACCTCTTAATGATGTAGGAAACTCCCTACTACGTGGCTCCTACGTCGTAGATGGGATGTAATATGTTGGTTAGGGGCGTTTTCATAGAAGGAGCTCTCTAAACAAGAAAATCACAGATCTTTCATATATTAGATATTTTCCTGAATCTAGTCCCAGAGTGAAGGAGTTTGGCCTAGAGAGCTATCCATTACACTTCTCTCAGTCAAGAGAATAGGAATCCTAAATTCTTCCTGTGAATTAACCTTGAAGATGAGGAGTATCAGTTTCTCCTATTGATCCTTTCAGACAATAATAAAAATAACTCACATTTAACTAGTGCTTTTAAAGTTTCCGGAGCACTTTTCTCACAACCATCCTGTGAGTGAAGTTGTATAAATACTGTTACACCTATTTTACAAATGAGGAAACTGAGGCTGGAGATGGACTAAGTCCCTTATCCACACATTTGATAAATGATTAATCAAAAGGTTGGTGCCAAAAAAAAGCATGAAATGGATGGAATTTGTCTTTAAATTTTCTTTGCCCTTTTAGTGACCTTCTTCCAGGTACTCAACAAGAGTTTTCCATCAAGTGAAGCTTGCCCTCCCTACCATTGTTCCCAGACTGACCTAGGCCCTCCACCATGAAATGTATTCACTCCTAATCTTGTCTCCACTGTGTCTCTGTGGCTTCCAAAACCTACCTGAGTGAAGGTGATAAAGTTTACACTGATGGGACGGGGCCAGATGACCCAGCTGCTCCCCAGCTTCTTTCCCTTCCCAATACACCTGCATGAATCTGAATGCACTCTAGAAAAGGTCACCCTCTCTTCATGATCTAGCGCTAATGCTCGGAATTTCAGGCCAAGGGGCAGGATGAGTTCCTCCAGGATGATTGTGGGAATAAATCCTGGAAAATGGAGTCTTGTCCCAATCCTCAAATCACATGTTATTATAACTGCCCTTTCTGATAGGGTCCCTGCTCACTGTAAAATGACAAGTATACAAATATTGACTGAGCATTTATTGTGCGGAAGGTACTGGTTTTGATCTTGAGTTTAGCCCTAGAAGTATAAAACATGATTCCTCATGGACCTTATAATCTACCTGGAGGGGAAAAAACAAAACAAATGCAAATGGGGAGGTAATTAACAAAAAGTCAAAAGAGAGATGCAGACACTAAATGCTAAGGGACCTCAGAGGAGGAAGAGATCATGGAGGTCTAGGGTAGACAAAGGGAACATCACCGAGGAAGGGAGAGCCTATAGCTAGGACCTGAATCAGAGGAAAGATTACTATTTAGAAGTTTTAGGGAATACTGTGGTCAGGAATTAGAGATGATTTACAGAGGCTGTTATTCCTCTAACATTAATCAAGCCCCAGCATTGTGTACTCACCCCAAGCCTAACTAATACTTTATCCTTCTCTGTGGGAGGCAGCATGGTCTAATAAAATCATCTTGAACTTGGAAGATGGGTTCAAATCTTGATATTAACACCAGCTAAAAAATAAACCCTTAGCTCAGTTTCCTCACCTATAAAACAAAGATGGTATTAATATTTCCTGCTTACCTAATGGGTATTTTGAAAGCCTTAAAGCATTATACAAATGTGAGTTATTATTATTATTAGATAAGACACTGTCCCTCCCCTGAAGATATTTAAGCTCTACGAGGTGGTGAGATACATACAGATAACCATAATATCTGGGCCAGATCGTAAAACTATTTTTTTGCTACAATTCCTCATTGAAATAATGCTGTAAATCAATGTGGTTTTCTCCATACTACAATTCATATTTATTTCCCCGATGCATCCCATAAATGGATGTTGTTACATGCCTTATAAGATCATGCCGTGGAAGTCCCTGTTGCCATAGAGGCCCAGGGTATCCAACCCAGTTCTCTTTCAGCACAGTGTGTCCTGCCCTGTGAAAGGTAAGCATGGTCTTTGGGACGTCTCCTACCCACATCAGTGCTATTGGCTTTTTTTAGTTGATGAGTATTAAGATTTCTTTTAAAAATGACTTCATTAATAATGAGAAAAGTAGATCTGAAGTCCAAACAGTGACTTACCTTATTACAAAGTATAGGATGAGCAGCCAATTCCATCAGCGGCTGATAATCTTGTTCTGTAATGTTGCATGGGTTCTTGGAAATAAATGCATTTTTAAAAGTTTCCCATATTTTCAGACAATCTTTTCTGTAGAAAAAGAAAGAAAATGTCTTTGTGCAAGGCCCAAATGTTTAAAAAGAATACTACTTAATTCTTCAATATCAACCATCAGCAATGGGTTTAAATGTCTGTAACTTACTCATTGGATATTTAGATACTAGGTAAAATTGGAGAGTTCACGGGGATCTCACTTTTCTCAATGAGAAAATCAGTCAGGTTTTAATGATTTTTGTGGTATAATAACAATTATTCACTAATAAGGCACTTTGATGTTTACAAAGTACTCCTCAAAAACACTGCAAAAGAATTAGTACAAGAATGATTTATCTCTATTTTAAAGATGAAGGGACTTGGTGGTGCAATGTATAGAGTGCTGGGCCTGGGGTCAGAAAGATTCATCTTCTGAGTTCAAATCTGACCTCAGACACTTACTAGCTGGGTGACCCTGGGCAAGTCACTTAACCTTGTTTGCCTCAGTTTCCTCATCTGCAAAATGAGCTGGAGAAGGAAATAGCACACCATTCCAGTAGCTTTACCAAGAAAACCCTAAATGGGCTCATGAAGCATTGGTCACAACTAAACAACAACAACTACAACAACAGCAAATATTTTATAGATGAGGAAACTGATTCTCAAGAATCCAAGGTGACTTGTCCAAGTCATGCAGTTAAAGGGTGTCAAAGCCAAGATGCAGTGGAAAGAGTATTGGTCTTGGAGTCAACAAATCTGGGTTCCAATCCAGATCAAGAACAAGTACTGTGGGAGGCCCAGCTAAACTACGAATGCCATAGTTAATTTTTATCTTTTTATCGCCATTTCCTAAGCCAGTGCCTTGTGTGTAGCTTAACAGGTGCTTAATGGATTTAAATGAAGAGTTCCCTTGATAAACCTAGGTCGGCTTGACCCATGCAATGCCCTGTGCTTTAGACCTATCTCTCAACCTTTGATTCTCTTGTTAAGTTTACTGGGTTCATTTATCCCCAAGTTCCTATTTCCAAACTAGCTGTTTTTATTTTGTGGGGGGGGGGAATCTTCATAAATAAATCAAAACTTCAGTCTGAGAAATGGTTGAATGTATAATGATAACAATCTTTATGGTATAGTAAAATGTGTGCTATTTTTGGATCCAGAGAACCTGGGCTCAAATCCTCCATCCTTGACCTTTGAGCAAGTCATTAAACTTTGTGCCTCAGTTACTCATTTGTAAAATAAGGAGGTTACAAAAAGGCACTAAACTGTGCATCCCCTTTGACCAATGATACTACTACTAGGCCTATACTCACTATGTGATCAAAGAAACAGGAAAAGGACCCACACGTACAAAAATATTTACAGCAGATCTTGTTGCAGTAGAAAAAAACCTGGGGCCAGCTAGGTGACACTATGGATAGAGAACCGGCCCTGGATTCAGGAGGACCTGAGTTCAAATCTCAGACACATAACACTTACTAGCTGTGTGACCCTGGACAAGTCACTTAACCCCATTACCTAGCCAAAAAAAAAAAGAAAAAAGAAAAAAAATACCTGGAAACTAAAGAGGTTTCCATCTATTGGGAAATAGCTAAACAAATTATAGCACATAAATGAAATGGAATGTTCTTGTGTCATAAGAAATGAGCAAACAGATAGTTTTAGAGAGAATTAGGAAGACCAGTACAGATTGATGCAGTGAAGTGGACAGAACTGGAACAATCTATATGACAATGTTATTATAAAGAAAAATATTTTGTGCCATAAATAATAAGCAGGTGGACTTCAGAAAAACCTAGAAAGACTTATATGAACTGATGCTGAGTGAAATGAGCAGAACCAGGAGAACACTGTACACAGTAACAGCCACAGTGTGTAATGACTAACTTTGATAGACTTATCTCTTCTTAGCAATGCAAGGATCTAAGATAACTCCAAAAGACTCGTGATGGAAAATGCTGTCTACATCCAGAAAAAGAACTATGGAGTCTGAATGTAGATCTAAACATATTATTTGCTCTCTCTCTTTTGTTTTCTTTTTTTTGTTTGTTTCTTCTTTCTCATGGTTTCTCCCATTGGTTCTAATTCTTCTTTATAACATGACTAATGTGAAAATAGGTTTACTATGAATGTATACATATAGCCTATATTAAATTTCATGCCATTTTGGGGTAGATGGATGGGGAGAGATGGGGAGAAAATTTGGAACTCAAAATCTTACAGAAGTGAATGTTGAAAACTAAAAATAAACAAATAAATTTTAAAAAAGAAAAATAATTTTGAATGATCTTTGGATTGGAAAAGCAGAATAAAAGTGGCTAATGAGGAAAAAAAGAAAAATAACTTTGAAAGATGAGTATCAATGCAATGGACCAAAGATGATGCGTGCTACTCACCTCTGGACAGACAGGTGTAGAATGAAAATCAGAAAGAAGAAACCTCTTTCTCTAGGTCAAACAACTAGTTAGTAGCTGAGCTGGGACCTAAGCCCTGGTTTCCTGACTCCCAGTGCAGTGATCTTCCCACTATACTACATTACCTCTAGGAGCATTTGTATGTAACTGAATCATCCTGAAGACAAGCTACTTTTGCCCCAAGGAATGAATTACTAATGGAATCTCAGGCATGGTAGCAGACCATGGGGAAAGATATTTATTTGGGTCTTGGAATGTGGAAGATTTTTACCACATAGGTAACTGCCTGGTCGGCCTATGAGTTGGGTTTACATATGACAGTATTATGGAACAACAGAAATTTTCCCCCACATGATTCTCACTAACTCTATGGTTTCTGTAGTCCAGTCCCTGCTGGACACGGCACTTTGTCCCCAAACCTTATCTGAATCCTGCAAGCATGCATATAAACTAAGGGCAAGAAAGAGTTCAAAAAGTTACCAAGGTGGACAGCTAGGTGGCACAGTGGATAGAGTGCCGGCCTTGGAGTCAGGAGGACCTGAGTTCAAATCTGTCCTCAGACACTTGACATTTACTTGCTGTGTGACTATGGGCAAGTCACTTAACCCCCATTGCCTCACCAAAAAGCAGGGAAAAAAAGGCTTACCAGAGAGGTTAGATTAATGGCTACATGGAGAATAATGCCTTGAATTCCTCAAAGCACCTACCTTCAGGAACAAAGAATAACCTGTTGTCATTATCATTTTGATTATTATAACTATTTTTTGGAGTTTGAGATCCACACTATAAAGTATGTGAAAAGTTGTCATATGAGAAGAGATTGTAGGACTGTGAGACAAGTCACAGGAGCCAGACCTGGGAGGAAGAGCGCCATCCCTGCAGGAAGCCATGGGATAAGGCAAAGACTCACTAGCTCCATGCTTGGCTAAGGATGTCTCCACCTTTACTAACCTGATGTACAGTCATCAGTGGCCAGTTGGCCCTGGTAACTTCAACTTTGCATCTGTTGGCATCTTCCCCATCCTTAAACCTAACTTGTGGGGCAGTTAGGTGACTCAGTGGATACAGTATAGGCTTGAAATCAGGAAGACTCATCTTCATGAGTTCAAATCCCTCCTCAGACACTTACTAGCTGTATCACCTTAGGCAAGCCACTTCACCCTGTTTGCCTTAGATCCTCATCTGTAAAATGAGCTGGAGAGGGAAATGGCAAACCATCCATTATCTCTGCCAAGAAAACATCAAATGGGGTCACAAAGAGTTGGATATGAGTGAAAACAACATAACGATTAAATCTAACTGGACTGATAAGAGGAAGGTGATGTGACGGTCCCTGTCCTTCTACACAACAGGGAGGTGCCCCCTCCTATTGCCAAGAACAGATCAACCTTAGTGGCAAGGAAACTGAAGGTTGGTAGGAATTCCTCAGGACAATTACATAAATTCCCCTAGAAACTCAGGAAATGTTAAGAAACCAGTGCTTATGAAAGAAGAGACTTTTTTTTTTGCTCCTAGATTACTGATGAGTGTTGATAGAGGTTTCCATTGGCATGAAGTTCTATAACTAAAATTGGCTACAAATGAAGGTAGATTTCTTTCCTCTTTGCAGTATCCTGTCTTGGAATATCCTGTTTGGCAAAACACCTGAGTAGTGCAGTCAGAGGCAATGTTGCAAACAAAAAGGAGATGGGTGGCTCAGGGCCTTTGTGGAACAAGAGACTTGATTGTGTAGATCTGTTTTTTCAGTACAAACATGTTTCATTTGATGCTGGGTCCAGGGAAATAACATGGAGGGGTAGAACCCTATGCTTTGCCCATCTGTCTGGGGGCACTGATCAAGCACTATTCTCTTCCAGGGAGGCTTCCTTGAGATCCCAACCCACTGAGTTCTCACCCTCCTCCAAACTCTAGTACATTTAGAAAGGACTCCTTTGAATGGTAGGTGCCAAAAGTTTACAAGATTATGAGCTCCTTAAGGGCGAAGACCATGGCACACTTCTTGTACCTCCATAGGCACTAACCTAATTTAATTATGACGATAAGTGTGCATTAGGTAGTACCTGGGTGGGTGGTTGATTGATTAGGTAGCAAATCACAAAGTTAAATTGGCCTATGTGCATATTGGACAAAGCAAAGAGTACCAGGTTTGGAGTTAAAGGACTAGGGTTTGCATGCCAGCTGTGTTGCTTACTGCCAGTGTGACCTCAGGCATGTCTTTTTACCCCGGCAGCCTTCAATTTCTTCATTTGAAAAAGAGGCTGAGCTTTCTGTCCGACACCTTAGCTTGGAGGCGGCAGCAGCAGGAGTTCCTGAAGCCTCACCATGCAGCCCAAGGACAATATGAAGAACAAAGATGCCGGCAAGTTGGCCAAGAAGGACAAAGATCCTGTGAACAAGTCTGGGGGCAAGGCTAAGAAGAAGAAGTGGTCTAAGGGAAAAGTTCAAGACAAGCTCAACAATCTGGTTCTGTTAGACAAAGCAACGTATGACAAACTCTGCAAGGAGGTCCCCAACTATAAACTTATCACCCCTGCAGTAGTCTCAGAGAGACTGAAGATCTGGGATTCTCTAGCCCAGGCAGCCCTCTAGGAACTGCTTAGTAAAGGTCTGATTAAGCTAGTTTCCAAACACAGAACACAAGCG